CAAATTTCACCTCAAGGAACGAGTAGCTACTTGATAAGTTGAAAACAATGTCTCATGTTTGCTATCATTGCATCGTCACCACAATTATGTACATTATGTATACATACATGAGCATGAAAATGTATTTGAACGAGCATTTTTTTTAAGTTTATCAACAAACATCATGCTCTCGTTCCACTTGAAAAATAATGCAGCATAATGTGCATGACGATAAGATTAACAGTAAAATAGTAATAAGTTTTTTAATGAAGCTACGACAAAGTATTTAAGCTGTTTATTAAACTATAGGTATGACATGATATGATTTTAATGAAAAACTTAATTAATGAATTTATGGTTAAACTTTTTGAGACGGAGATTCATGGTGGGCTGGAAGATTAAAGTGTGGATTAAGAGATTTTGGTGATTGTCTAGATTGGTCTAGATGAAAATGCAGGAAATCAAATTTTCGACATGCCAAAAAATTTCTCAAAATATTAAATACGCAAAATTCATCAATTCAGCAGCATTTGCGATTTATATCCAAAAAACTTTTAAAATATTGAGGCTATAAATGTTAACGATATTTTCTCGGCAAAGATCATTTCCAAATTTAATTAATCATAATAAAATAAACAGAAACCTATTCAAACAAAATCCTCTCTTCCATTATTCTAATTAAGTCTTCTCACGTTTATGGATAAAGATGACTGCTTAGCATCTCAGCAGATTTTTTTTTTTCAAAAATGAGCTTTTCTATACTAAAAATAACTCATAAAAAGTTTTAATTAATCATAAAAAATTGAAGAAGTTTTTTTTGTTTTGTTTTCAGTTGTTAACAGGCAACCCAAGAGAGAGAAAAAGGTGAAAGTTCTTCTTCTTGATTGTTTTGTACTGCTGAAACATTTTCGCTAATTCAATACAAATTTACAGAGATGATGATGTGATGCAGGGGATCGGAGGTATTTTAGGCATAAATTGAGAAATTTCCATAAATATATTAAATGTTGATGCAATTATTTTTCGATTATGGGGTCGATAAGGTAGTTGCAAGGATGAGGAAGTGATGTGAATGAAAAGATGTATGTAAATTGTTGAACAAAATAGAAATGGATGTTAATAATGAATAAAAATTTAGGAAAAATAGATTTTTCATTTAATAATCAACAATAATGCTCGAGCTCATTCAATATTATGGGGGTGCAAGCGAGATATGAAGCTGAACTTTATTTTCTCTTAAAACTTGAAAGAAATGAAATTTCCATAGCTTTAAAATCGATAAAAATCTCGAGCCGACTTCGAACTCTGGAAATTTCTACAAAGCATATTCTGTTGTGTTTCCATAGAACAAGTTTCGCAATACAAACAAATTATATCTGCTAGGTTTTAATGAAATTTCATAATAATTAGCACTGGGCCCTTAGGCAAAATTCAAAAAATATTTTAAACAAGACTTAAAAAAAATTTCATTTTAATTTCCATAGAAATCATTTAAAATTTCACTTAAGGGCACCGAACTGAGTACTATATGCCTTTATTGTTTTCTTATTAAAAAGCTCATATGAGAGTCTCTCATGCGTAGTAATTTAGCTTTGTAAAGTCATTTTTTACACATCACATGATCTCAAAAGATTTTCATTTATTTATGCAGCCAAGCTAAGTATTTTTCGCATGTTTTCACTGATTCTTCAATTCATGAGCATGGAGCAATAGATGAATGCACTAGTTTCGCTGAATGCTTTGATTTGCAATAGAGTTATGCGATTTTCTTTTCATTTTCGCTTTTTTTCATCTTAAGAACTTGTGAATTAAAAGATGAAAGTGAATATAGAGCGTGAGAGGATTCTGCAGTTTTGTAAGTTTTAATTGTTATTAGCTTTTTGGAGCAACAATAAAATTAGTGGATTTAAAATCCATCAACCGTGAAAATAATCGTTCACAAAATTCAGCAGCAAGGTCATATTTTGCATTAAAATGAGAGAAAGGTGTTTTTGGAGTTTTTAGGTGATTTAATTTTGTGATGATATTTTGTATGGAAATATTTATATATAAATGTGGTGCTTAATGAGGATGTTGGGGTAGGCCTTGAAGTTTTTTGATGATCGTGGAAATTGGCATCATTAAATGGCAATTGTGTTACTGTGTATGGATATTTTAGAAGTTAAATTGCTAGGTGTTTGACTAATGATACTCAGAGGTCTGTTTCTCGACTATTAGCTAGCCATAATCTCAAGTTTGGCTTGCAACCCATAGCGTGTCACACAATGCAAGTATACAATAGCGCTTCACACAAGAAGCACTTAATGGATCTGATGCTGTACGTTATTCAGATAAGAAGATGGTTTAGGCTATTAATCCAAATTCATGGAATGTGAAAAATATTCAAAATGATCAAAAATTGTCATATGTCCACATTCAATCCACTCAACCAGATCCATTTGACCTCATATTAAAATCTGATTTCAAGCAAATCGATCATGAATATAAATTGCTTAATCAAAGAATCTCAAACATCAAAGAATACCAAAAAAAAAAAAAGAAAATCAATTACGAACCAAAAATCAATCCGAAAATATTCAATTAACATTCTCTCCTTCATCTTATCTCTTCCAAATCATTCACCTCATCTAAAATTCTGATTTTACGCTTAAAACTGCTTAAAATGTAAAGTCGACAAAGAAGCAGAGGCAAAAACAAAAGAAAAACTGCATCATCATAACTGTCCGTTGCATAATTTTATCGTTCCTCAACATTTCATCCGTAAAAAAAGAAGATGAATAAAAACAATTTTAAAATGTGGGTAAGAAGCAAAAAATGCGATTACAAAATATTTTTTTTTGAGACACTGAACGAAAAAAGAGATTGTCAGCGGAAGCCGATAAAATATTCAGAAGTTATGTAAATACAGTCAACTAGGTATGCTGCCCATAGTTTTTTTAAATTCCAATTCTCTATTAATCTGTGCCAAAGTCAAGCAAGACCGACAAAAAAAATAAGAAAGATTTTTCACAACTCTTGACACAAACGAGTCTAATTAAGACCTTTTTTTGGTCATTTCCATTAAACTCATTCGCTTGTCTAGTTTGTCTCTTTAGTAGCCACAAAAGTGGAGCAAAAAGCAGTGTGAATTAAGCAGGGCAGTAAAAAAACATTCCAAACATTCATTCACCGGATGAACTTTATTTTGTTGTTGGAATGTAAGAGGAAGTTTATCATCAGCCAAGTGCAATAATTCTTTACGCTTGATAGACATTTTTATAACTTTTGATTTATTGGCGGATTATTGACTTCATTATATATTCTGCGTTTTTTGGACATAAATATTTTTAGAGATGATAAATATTTTATTAGAAATTTATTTTCTTGTTATCGAGTGAATAAAACGGGAAATAGAGATAAGACGTGAATTGAGATGTTTTAGTGGTAACAAAAATGTTGATGCGCATTTACTGGATTTTAATATTTTGTAATATCAGTTGAGAGGCTGATTGAGTTCAAGTGTCAGTATTATACCAAACAAATAATTTATGATGGCAAACTCTAAAGAAGAGATGGCTAGGATCAGATTTAGCTTGTAGCTAGGAATTTAGAAATATCTGCAAAATTTGAGCTCATAATTGTCAGCAAAGTGACAAAATTCAAGCTAAACATGTCACAGACCCTTAATAAAAGTCATCCAAATAACAGTTTGCATCCACTTAATACTGTCCAATAAGAGGGCATGTATACAGCAAAATAATGACCATCGCCATCCCAACTTTCTGCAAGTCCATAAAAATCATTCAGAACGATCAAAAACAACCATAAAGTTCAATATAAATTGATGCTATTCTTAACCTAAACTATAAGATATTATTGACATTGTAATTTTTATTGGAATCGCAATGAACTTATATCTGACACACGTGTGCTTTACCATACTTTAAGTTGAAAGTTTCTAAGAACACCATCAAGCCATTTCATTCGCATAAAAGTGTCAACAAATTCAACTTAAATTGCCATAAATTATTCAATTAAATTATTTTGAAAGTTTGTCAAGCACTTTGGGATAACTGTTTAATAAAGACAGTTACTACACAAAATATGTTGTGCAATATTCGTAGAATACGTACATGGCTATTCCTGAGAAATTAAGTAGCAAGTAGGAAAGTTTAGTGACTCATTTTTACACACAAAAAACCGAAAAAAAAAACTTATGGAATTGTAAATGTCATCGTTGTTAAGTAAAATGTCGATTTGTGAGCATTTATGGCATTAAAGTGTATAAGGTTTGGTTTTATAAGACCAGCAGGTTGCGTTGTGAGAAATTGATGATATTATTCAGTTAATTATGTTGCGAGTTTTATGATTTAATTAAATAAAATGAAGTTGCAGTAATGACTTGAATGAGAAACATTTTTGAAGCTCAAACCTGAGCATTGACTTTACTAGCTTCAATACCCCCAACTAAGTCTACATAATCAACCAAGTCACAAAATTTCTCGAATTGTCACTTTTTATGATCGAAACTAGCCTTGAAAGGCCATTCACAAATGCATGTCGCAGAATGACCAAAAATATTTAAGATTATATCAATATCAACCAGCATAGACCCCCTGCCAGCAGCTTACAAATCAAAATTAAACCTAATGTCAAATAAAATCGAATTCCGATCATTCTTTAATCACGATGTCATAATATTGACATCAACTAGCTAATCTATCGATTTTTAATTCTAAATCTGACAAAATGTGATCACTAAGGGGCCATTCACTTATTACGTAACGCTTTTAGGGGGAGGGGGGGTCTAAGATTTTGTTACGATTCAAACAAGGAAATTTTTTTTTCATACAAATTTTGTTACGAGGGGGGGGGGGGGGTCTAAGAAGTCATTTTTTCGCGTTACGTAATAAGTGAACAGCCCCTAAGGAACAATTCTTAAATTTTAAGCTCATAATCATTTTTAATATGTTTTGATATGTTCCAGAATGGAAATCTTAACGTTATTAATTAAATAAACATGACAATGCCTTTTTATTTACCTTTTTTATGTATCTTTCTCAGAATTCCTTAAAAGATGATTTTTCTTCTCCTTTTTATGTGTGCTGCTTATTTTAGTATAACAAAGGTAATAATAATATTAATGTTTTAATATCCAATTGTATCCTTGTTCTTCGTCGTCTATGTAGGTAAATTTCTGTTCTTTATTCCACTTTATTTATATTCCAGCGTTATAATAAATCATTCCGTCTTCTCAGGCCACACAATTGTAATGCATTGTGTCGGGGTGGAGAGGAAGTAAGATAAACACATTTGATGAAATTTAATATTTTTTTAAATTCACTCTCTTTTTAACGCAGGCTTGGTGGATCAATAATGAGAGAGATTCTTAATAATTTGATATTTTCATCTTGCTGTGTGTATGTGAATGTACACTTATTTACCACAATATTGTCGGTTCTTTAAGAATTCAGTCAGTAATGCATCGATGAATATAATATTGAATAATAATATACAGTATTATAATCACGTTCAATTATTATTTTGTTATTCACTGTGAATTCACTTTTTTATATTTTTTATTTATCTTCTCTTTCTTTGGCTTTCCTTTCTTCTTTTTATTGGAAATTCTTTGTGTTTGATTTTCTCATCGCAAAGCTGTTTTCTTGGCTGAGAACTTTTTGATTCTATAAATTGAATTTTGAGATTTTTCTTGGGAAATTCAAAGATTTTGTTTTTGTTTTCATGCAAATCCTACGGAACACGATCCACAACTCTTGTTCCTCAAAATTCCTTATCCGAAATTCCAGTCTCTAAAAATATCCCACACACTTCCAAAAGTTGCAATTAATATTCAACAAATTCTTCACTTTTTTCTCTTATCTCAAAAATTCTTGTTTAAATGAATGTAAAACGTTTTGTTTGACTTAATGCACTTCCATTGATGTTCTACCTTACTTGATATTTTTTATTCTGTTTGAATTTCATTAAAATATTCTTTTTTTGGTTCTGATTGTTTGGCTTAAAATTAAAATTTTTTGATTATTTTTTTCTTACACTGATAATTTTTGAATACACAAATTAGTAACTCAGCTTCTTAGAATTCCTTAATGCACTTTACTGTTTAGATTCAATTTAAACCAGTCACAAGATTTAATCTTATTTAAATCCAAAGATTTTTAAAAATTCCAATTCTCACTTTTTGAAATTCAAATTAATTTTTGCAATTTAAATGCAACTTTGATTTCTTCAATCTTAATCCACAAAATAAAAATTTTTGTATGCTGCAAAAAATGCCGGCTCAAAACTATAAAAAAATCCGTCTGTTTAATACAAAGTTTGTTTGTAAACTAAAGCATCAGTTTTAAAAGAAGTTCCTCAACATCTCAGATTTGTTTTCAACATCTTTTCTGCTTCTTTTAGTTCACTTAACCTGCTGTTATAATTTTTATAACAGTTTTGAGTCGCTCACGTTTGCGTAAGATATTCTCTGAGATTTATTTCTAGCTCTCTCACTTGCCATGCCGTGGCTTTCGCTCATAAAAATATTTTAAATTCTTTTACTGCTTTCTGCTGTTTGTTTGCTCTCTCTCACTTCTGTTTGATGTTTTCCTCTTCTTACTTAGGTATTAATGGATAAAATATATACTGAAGTGTTTATGAACGACAATTATGACGGGATGAGTAGTTAACGTATTTTATGTTTATTTACTTACAGTACTGTGAACACTTGGATATATTGACAAGGTATCGCGGAATTTTACATGATTTTGGTGAGAATTGAGTTATTAATTTCATGGGAATCAATATTTTTCGTGAGAAAATTCAATTCGTATAGTTGGAAGTCATTTACATACTTATCATGACAAGCTCCAAGGAATAGGGAAGACAAGACACAAAATGCAGCACAATATTGAGTGAATTAGATCTCAAGCTATTTAATATGCGAATAAATGCATCCACAGAATCTGCAAATCCCAAGATATGTACAAATGAGACAGGAAATTACGTCTACATACCAGTTTAAGAGGATATAAGGCACCTAATATCATCTAGAATTCATAATAATAAAACAAATCTTTATCTCCATCAACATCCACAGAAATCATGCCTTTAAATGTTAAAATTCCAAAGAATTTACACAATATCCGAAGACAAAATGTATCAAGTAATCTGATTCTCAAGAAGAAAGAAGTTCTCGTGCATAAAATACACATCACTTAATGTTATTTAATAACACAAAGTTCTACTTAGAAAGAAGACATTCTAATAGCATAGAAGACCGTTTGAATGATAAAAATATATAAATAGAAATCCATTCTTCCTCTCTCTTCTAGCCCCGTCTATACGTTAGATTATAAACATTTGACTTCCTCTTCTTGCTAATTCACATGAATGAAATGAAATATATCTTTTTTATCTAGACTATTATTATTATTATTTGTTTTGAGCATGTAAGGATTTTTCTCTTTTTATTACGATAAGAGGTTTGAGGGCATGCTTGAAGGGGTTCCTTTTGAAAATTGTTAAGCAAAACTTTGTGACAGATAATAATAATAAAATGTAGATTTTTGCCGAGTTTAACTTCTGGTTATGTCTACACATTCGTACCCAAAAAATATGTCGAGCATAATGAGAATATTTGAAGCTACTGTGGTAATTTTGGGTTTGACAGTTACAAGATGAGTTTTTCTTGTTGAATTTAAAGTATGAATTACTTTAGGTCATGAATCAAGGCTTAAAAATAAATTATTAAAGGCTTGAAGATATCACAAATATATCGAATTATTTTAATTCATGCATAGGTGTTAAAAGAACTGCTAAGTCCAAAAGATAAATATTGATCTTATCTAATGTTCAGACTCACAATCCTACACTATATCTCCTCAGATTCTGTAAAATTTAATTTATTTAAATTAATTTATTTGCACTCAATTCTTTCAGTTAAGACTGTCAAAATTATAAATATCATTCATTCTAATTAAGCCACTCCAAATCTGTTCTTACTAATTTAAGTCGCCCAGTGATCAATTTCAGCCAAAAATGTCAACATCATCTCAATAAAAAATCAAATGAACTTACACGAACTCGACAAAAAAAAGAAGAAACATTATTAATGATTTAAACTTGAGGACTGCAAATCTTAAATGTTGTTGTGTTGGATGATGCAGTTTTTGAAGTTTGTTGTCTTTGTTCATTCCCTGATTCTTCAGTGACTGGATGTTTTTAATGTATGTATTTATTCTTTATTAACCTTAAAATTCTTTCGGGTCATGATTCTTTTTTACCTCGTAACAAACCTCAAACTTCTCTAATAAATCATACTGAACACTGCCGAAATTTCAAATACCTAAATGATAATTTTAAAGTCATTAGTTCATTAGAGGGTGAAGATCAAAATTGGCTATTTAAACATTACGTACGCAAAAATTATACTCAACGCACATCAAACTTTAGTTGTATTAATTGACCTTCATTTTTTCAGTACTTCGTATTAATGTGTAACATAAAAGCCATTAGTGTATGTGTAAGCAACGTGTAGACTCTGTTCGCATTTTCATAATCTTCGTAAAGAAAATTTCGATTTGTTATTTTTAGTTTCATTTGCTTTCAATTCCATTTTCGACGGAGCATGTATAAAAGTCGAGCAGAGTGCCAAAACCTTGATGCGTAAATGAACAATACAAATGAATATTTTTAGCAGTGAGTACAAAAATTTAAAACATTTTCCTTCATCGGAACTTAAAGACGCTAAAATTATAAGTTCTTACCAGTTATAAAAGGTTTTAAGACATAAAGGATTGATACAAACTGCATGACAATATACTGCACAGTGCTTAAACATATTGACAAGTGAAAAATCTTTTTGTGACAATAAAATAAATTAAGAATGCATGAATATCAAGAAAGTGAGAATTTAAATAATAAAGGAAGATTCAAACTTGCATTTAAGGACCTTAAATACATTGTTAAGTCCAAAGTTCCATTCTTAAAACAAAAAACAAAAACAATTCTCAATTGTGTTTCGGGAGAATTTCATAGTCATGAGCTGACAGCAATTATTGGATTAAGTGGAAGTGGCAAAAGTTCACTTTTGGACTGTATTTCGGGTTTTCGTGTGAATAACATTAGTGGAACAATTACTTATAATAATGATATTATTTCAACTCGCAAAATTAAAGAAGTTTCGTCGTATTTTATGCAGGAACAAATGCTTCATAAATTTTTGACTGTAAATGAGTTTATGAATTTTGCAATCAATGTCAAATGTCATAAGAAGTTTAGCAAAGAAGAAAAGGAATTTAGAATTGAAAATATATTGCGTAAACTGGATATTACGAATCAACGCAATTCCTACTCACAAGACTTAAGTGGTGGACAGAGAAAGCGACTTCAAATCGCTATTGAGCTAGTTGATGATCCAAAAATATTGTTCCTTGATGAGCCAACAACAAATCTTGACATTGTTTCCTCAACACAGTGCATGAAGTTACTTAAAGACTTAAGCAACGAAGGTCGGATGATAATATTAACAATCCATCAACCATCAGCTACAATGTTGACAATGTTTGATCACATTTATGCCTTAAGTGCTGGAAATTGTATTTATCAAGGAACCAGTGGAAATTTGATTGAATATCTGGACGAAATTGGACTTCCATGTCCATCATCATACAATCCAATAGATTATTTAATGGAAATAGCTAGCAATGAGTATGGAGATCATAGTCAAGTTCTTGTTGACAAAATTCAGAACGGATCAAACTTTGACTATGCAACAGAACATGACCAGGACCACACAATTGATATTTTTAAGAAACCATCAGATTTTGTGGATTATTCTTCATCTTATTTCCAACAAGTTTACTATCTCATGGTCCGAATTTTGCTATCCAGATTTCGCAATAAAAGCTCACTTTGTATTCGATTCAGTTCACTTATTGTAATGGGAATAATTTTTGGACTAGTTTATCAGAGAGTTGGAAATAATGCATCGTACTCAATAGATAATATACATTTCATTGCTGGATCTCTTTGTATTGTTTATTTCACATCTTTTCATTCCCTTTACATCACATGTAAGTCCTGAATACTTGAGATCTAATTATTTATAGTAATAGAAAATCTTGTCTTCAGTTCCAACAGAATTTCCAATCATCAAAAGAGAGCATTTCAATGGATGGTATTCGGCAATAGCTTATTACTCTTCCTTCATATTATCTGATTTTCCATTGATATTATTAAATGTTACAATTTATTGTATAATCGTGTATTTATTGACAGACCAGCCACGAGAGCTTCATAGATTTTTACTTTTTTTCGGCAATCATTTGGTTTTTGCATATGATGCACAAACAATGGCGATAATGGTTACGGGTCTCTTTAGTGGAATGGTATGTTACAATTTTATTTCTAAAGGATGTAATTCAATTTCGTTTTTATATCCACAGGTAGCAGTGTGTCTTTCACAACTTTCAATATTTCCTTTCTATGTAATTTCAACAGTCGGAGTTTATGCACGTGACACACATCCAATTTTCACATCCTTCTTTCGTGTAAACTTCTTTAATGTTGCAATAGCTGGATCTACAACATCAGTCTTAGGAATGAACAGAACAAAGCTTAGATGTGATGAACTTTATTGTCATTTTAATGATCCGAAAAAGATTTTGCATGATTTCGAATGTGATATTGATTTATTGTATGCCTTTAAAGTACTTTTTGCATATTTGGTTGTATGTCATATTGGAGCATTTGTCTTTATTAGGTATAAGCTGAAATATAAGCACTGATGAAAATAAAATTTTGGATGATTTTTTTAAAAAAGAATCAACATTTTTTTTTTAATTTTTCTTGCATGTTGCTGCACCTTTGCAGTATTTTTACAGACTCCTTGAAATGGGGTTGAACTTATAATACTGACAAACTTCCATAAAGAGATGTTCCAGTTTTCAAATTTATGTCATAGTAAATTATCTTCCACTTTAAATTTACCAACAATTTCAAAAGCTTTGAACTTGATTCCCTTTATAGTAGCATGTTATTTACATAATAATAACATCAAGCATCAGCAGCAAAAAAAAACGGAACAAGCAAAACTTTTTCATTCAAATTAAAATTAAGACTTTGAAGTGTCACAGATAGTTTATTGACTTTATAATACACATTAGCATGACAAAAAAGTCTCTTTTATGTTCCTTATAATCAGAAACATAGTTTTTTTGGCATTCACTCAATCATAGCCGGTTGCAAAGGAAGCCATTCATTATCATTTAGTCCACAAGAAATTCCATTTATGGCAACTTTTGTAGTTTTGATTCCTTCTTAGAAATTCGCAAACATTTGGCGATAAAATTATTTTTTTAAAGATGTTTATCCATAACAAGAACCTTCGACTTGCTTGCCAGCGATTATTTAGTAAATATTAGCATTAGCATAAAGCCTTATTTGTAGATACATGAGACTTATAATATTTATGAAATAAAAATTTGCTTTTCTTGTTGTCGTATAAAGAAATTTCTTTTAAGTCTGATTATACTTTTGCTTATAAGAAACAGACAGAATAACATAAGCTAACGTCTTCTTTGTTCATTAAAATATAGAAGAGATTGCTTTTTTTAACTTAGAGATTGGGATCAAGAGAAAATAATATCAAGCTAATTTGTATCAAAATCACTTCAAATGGAAAATTAAAGACATGTGATGCTTAAAGTTTTACGGACAAAATCTTGATAAATTCTAGAAACTTTTTAATCAATGATTTTCAAGAAAGGGAAAATGTTTCAAATTCCAAATTAATTTCGAAACAACTGATTTGATTAATGCTGAACTTTATTCTTTATCGTCACAAATCTGTGGAATTTATCTTCCATCCCCCTCAAACACATCATAAAAAGTCAGCTCTTCTTAGTAATAAAATTCCTCGTAAAATTTTGCAGCATTCAAAAGAACAAGAAATGTAAGGACAGACAAATTTTATAGCTCTTCAAAATTCCCAAGGGTGTGGTACTGATAAAATGATCAAAAAAATGATGAAAAATGATCAAAAAAATGATCAAAAATTATCAAAAATGATCAAAAAAATGATCAAAAATGAACAAAAATGATCAAAATTGATCAAAAATGATCAAAATGTAATTCTTCAGTTCCACACCCTTGAAAATTCCTTAAGTCAATTGCTCCATTTTTGATAAGCCTTGAAATTTCAAAGACTAGTTCATCGAAATATTAATAATTATTTCAGCCGGTAACGGCGACAAATAAATAAAATACAATACAATATGTACATCAATTAAATTCCTCTTTAAACTTTATTTGTATTTAATAACCTTCATTTTTTCTCAGCAATTCGTATTGATACAAAAACATTTACGTCATATTGATATATGTGGAAGCAATGAGGAGACTATTTTGGCGTTTTTAAAAATTATGCATAGAATATTATGCAAGGAGCTTCTATAAAATCTCAACAGAGTGTCTATACCTTTATGTGTACATGAACAATTCAAATAAATATTTTTGACAGTCTGCAAAAGTTCAAAGACTTTTCTTTAATCATGAATGTCTAAAATTAGACTACTTATCACAATCAAAGACAAATTCAAGGTGCTTGGACTGTGCTGCACTTGTTCCACTTTAAGCTAAAATAAAATACTTTACTCAATTGTAGTACTTGAAGCTTATTTGAAATTAAAAATAATATTTTTGGACCTAGAACATTGAAAATAGCATCCAGTTATCATCAAAAATTTTGACAAAAGTTTAAATTCAGTTGATTGACAAAAGGTATTGCCATTTTTGAAAATTGCTCCATTTTTTAAGCACTTAGATATAAACTTTTTGGGGCACTTAAATTAAATATGCTATTTGATTATCCATGAAGCTCAAAAAAAATCTCCTTTTAAGGCATGATTTCAAAAATTGGAATTCCAAAATCGAAGTCTATAAACTAATACAATAGAAATGCTCATTAAAAATTTAGAAAGAATAAAAGAAAATAAATCCAAACAAGATGAAAAATGACATAGAAACTGTTAAAGAATTCCCTCATCTAGCTTGTTTTTTTGTTGTTATTATAGCGTCGGATTTAGTCGTTTGATCCTAATGAGAAAGGGATCTCAATTGATAATTTTGTTTAACAAAACAAACTAACAGAAAATTTTACGATACACAAAAGTAAAGTCAGTAAGAAGCCTAGTTCTTATCGACTATCAATGTCTGAAGCGCATTTTTGAAATAACTCGTCAAGGACTTTATAATCAACCAAGCTTAAAAAGATGGTTTCAATTTATTCAGAATAATTTTCAGTGAAACAGTACCGTACCCAACCTCCATCATATTCTCAAAAGTTTTGACTTAATAAATAAATGCCATCGACTGGAGCTCGTGCATAAAAATGCAAAAAAAAATTGTCCACGAGCCGTTCAAAAAATTATTTTATTTCCTGACGTCAATCACAACTTCATCACCTCAGCCGACAAACAGACATAAAAGTCACCCACAGCAACACATTTGACTATTTTTTTTAAATGCCAGTTAAAAAAAGATAGAAGAAATTCTTTATCTCAACAAAGTCGTTAACGAGATTCTTGTTCTTCTTCACTTCTTCTCTTTTTCGCTACACCTTTATATGTTTTCTTCCTTTGAACAAATAGACGCACACACAGTACGTGTATTTTTGTATATGAGCGACATTTTGAAGGCTTTAGAGAGAGACTAAAAATATTGTAAAGTCAAATCTACCTGTTGTTACGTGAAGAAGAAGAAGAATTTTAAAATAAAATCAAGAAATTCTTTAAAAAGAGCATTGCATTCAAGTGTAACAGATTCAATATTCATTATGTATTGTAACATGTGTCTTACATCCTGCCTTATTGACTTTAATGTTCATTTTCACAAGATTTCATTATGGAAGTTCTATATGTAATATTGCCAATCGATGACCGGATATTTCAACTTAAGAATGCGTCAAAAGGAGTTTCATGTCGTTCCACTTTTAATGAATAGAACGGAAAAGAGATTTCTGGTTCCTATATAGGTAATATAGATTCGATACGCAATAAAATTTCCTTTGTTATGATCCATAAATGTTCCTTACTATCTTAAAATGTCCTCAAAATATTGTTAGGTATGTGATCTTATTGTAATCAATTCTACAAGAATTTTAAGTTAAGGAACTGAAAGGAAGAAAGTGTTTGAAAATGTCACAATTATTTACAGTCTTCAGATTATAACTGTTGGAACTCTGTTAATTCTTGAGATGAAAATAATTAATTACAGCTGGAAACCTTAATCTACCCACCATTGTCCCAAATTTCAATCCATCCAGTAACCATAGTACTCATAAAGTCTCCGACATTTCCACAAACGTGATCCGACTAGCCAAACATCTTTAAAATTCATTAGAAAAACATTAACTTCAAGTCTCGTCAACCCACAGCACTAAAATGATTTGCATCAATTCATTTTTTATTGCTTTAAGGTGTTTGTCTAAATGGCGCAAAAATGTCGATTCCAAAAAGCAGCACATCATCAAAGTCAAAACATAACAATAAAATTTTTAAATATATGATCCACCTACGAGATATTTATCATGAATCGCACAATCAATTCATATTCATTCACCCACACTGGATTGTCTTTTTTACCCATACACAGTCAAGCACTTATCTGCGACAAGCATATTGAATGAGCATAAATTATTTAAGGTCATAACATTTTAGAGCGCTAAGTTTTAATAGCTTTTAATCAAAAATTCATTTCTGATATGTTCTTTTAAGTGGCGGACGATGTCAACAGATGAGACATGACTGTTTGAAGATGAAAACAATTTTCGAGTGATTGATATTGATAGACACAATAAGGCTTTATGTTTTTGAATTTTTTTAAGAAATAGAAGAATTTTTTGGGATGACAATTCATTTGTTTTATGTTAATGCTGGACTTTAATTAAAAGGCAATAACAATCGTGCATCCAAAATCTCACATCTCGTGACAATCTTGTAGAACAAAAGACTGAAAAAAAAAAACCATAAAAAATTCCACAATAAAAAATTGAGCAAATTCCTTTCAAGGCTTTCTCTTCAATTTCCTCAAAAAAACGCAATTCCTAACCCAGTTCCTTGTATACAGTGAAAGAAAAATCAATAACATCATGTCATTCCACAACAAAACATCATAACATGCAATTATTCAATACACCATTTTTAAAACATAAAACATCTTGACTGACTGTTGGATTTATTTGACCTTGTCTGCCTCAAGAAAGGAATAAAATGTTATCACTGCTTTCTTCTTATCGGTAAAGGCAGTCGGTTGATGAAAATTTATTTACATTATAAGTAAAATTTGACAGTTGATTGTGGGCAGTGGAATGGATGAAGAATTTGTTCGATTTATGCATGACTGAAAGATTTTTCTCGTGCAGACATTTCTGGTAGATTCTAATGGCGATTTTTGGATGCATTCAATAGGAAAAATAAGATAAGATTGAGGATATAAAAAGACATTTTGTATTGTTGAGTGATGGAGTTCTATAAATATTTTGGACTACGTGACAATGCGATTTCTATAAATATTGATGAAGTGACGTTTAAGCTGTAAAATGGACTCAGATTTAGTCAAAATAGTTTATGTCGCTCTATTCAGCTCTATTCAGGATCTTGTTTAATTCAACCAAGCATTGGCGAATTCAAAATTTTAGACAAAAACCAGAATAAAAGCAAAGAAGCTAGTAGCAACAAGCTTCTCGTTCCCACCCAAAATCACCACAAGGCCTTATCATCATCAAAAT